GCGTAGGTCTCAGGGGGTAAATTCATACTCTAGTACGTTTATGTTTTGTTTTAAGGAAGACTTAAAAGCAATGAATCTACAGACTGTAAAATGTATATTCTTGGTTTAGTGTATAAAGATCACCTCTTTTCTAATCATAGTGTCATTCTTGTAATTCGAGTTGTTGGCATACCGAAGTTTACCTGAAAACCCACCAAAAAATGCATCAATTATAAAAGAAATTTGTAGATTAACAATAAGACAATACTTTACCATCTGGACGAAACTCAAACTCGAGAAATTCGTGCCCAAATTTGCCTTTATGTCCAACATAATAACGTAGATAGAAATCATTCGCCGCCATTTTGTTGAATGCACGCGGCGTGAGTCCGCAATGTTTATGACAGCGGTGGTCRACTAGTTCCCATTCCACTCGCATACAGTTCTCTACGTTGAATATCTAGTGTTATTTAGCTTACTATATTAATCAAAAGCAACAAGAGACTTCAATAAAAGATAGACTATCATAATTTCCACCATATTACATTTTTCATCGAACAAGAACAACCCATACAACTTTTACTTGTACAACAATACCATGAACTGAAAATTTCATATCATTTTGCGTCTTTTTAAAAGACCTAGTGGCAGAAAAAGAAAAATATCTTGATTATTTATGATACATTTTTTTTAAATAAAACTCGTTAAAACAAGTTGCTTCTTGGGATCCCTGTGACAACTACTGCATACCGCTGTCTCCCAGCCTGGCTGTCTCCAAACACGAATCTGTGTTAAAATCACGTGATATGTAATTTTGTATCATTCAAGATGGCGAACGGTGAGTGATGTGTAATCGTGATGTTTGGCACGTTTTGTCTAGTTTTCTCTCTTTCTAATACATTTTAAATCCATAGAAACTGTACCATACCAAGCGTGTATCAAGTCTCTTAATGTCAACTCAAACGAATTCAAATATTTTGATGTCGCAAGCTTGGACCAAAAACGTTTTGGTGAGTGATCGAAGCAAGCAATTAAAATTGTGAATGCGTGACGTTTACTAGTGTAGAATAAATTTATGGCTTTAGAATATAAGCTTAAGCATTATCGACAACATTCAGGACATTTTTGTACATTCTATAGAGTTAAATGAAGACTTGTATTTTATATATAGCGTAAGCTTTATTTTCTAAAGAGTTATTCAAAACGAACTTTGAACTTTAAAATTTTAAAGCTCGAGAAATTTTATTATTGCCTTATTCAAGATATATCAATGAGTCTTTTATAATGTCATTGTTTTAAGCATTAATAAAGCTGTCTTTTTTGTTGTAAAATGGTGAAAATTACAATTGATAATGTATGTACAATTGTACAATACATTGTACTGGGGTGTTGGCGTTGTTACTCACACAGTGTTGCCATGAAATATTCATTATGTAACAAGCAACAAGTCTGTACTTGGAGATAATTGATTTATAATAGAATATGTATAATATAGTTTAATGGCATATAGTAAGCTATGTGCTTATTGTCTGTGCCCAGTGAATTTTACTTGATGAGGCTTATTATGCATTTTAATGATTTCAAATTAGAAACCCTAATTTTCAAAACATTATCAGGCGTATCCAGGGGAGGGKCACAGGGTGCCTGTGACTCCGCTTTCAAAGCCAAAAAGGCGAGAAAACAATAGATTGATATGACATCATATTGACATCTAATGACATCATAGTGACAATTTGGTATGTAAGGACCCCCACAATGAAAATCCTGGAAACTCCCCTGATTATCCATATTATTAAMATTTTTTAAGCAGAAATCATTTCAAAGTCTAATGTATTTTTTTTCCTTTGTTCACAGCTCGTCTTCCATTCTCCATCCGCGTGCTTCTTGAATCAGCTGTACGAAATTGTGACAACTTTCAAGTTCATACCAAAGATGTAGAGAATATCTTGAACTGGGAAGCAAACCAAAACAGCAATGTTGAGATTCCTTTTCGACCATCTAGGGTTGTCCTACAAGATTTCACGTAAGATTTGTGGAGTGAATACAATTGACAGATTAATAATACCATGGATTCTCTCTTTGTTTAATTAATAATGGTGGATAAATCTCACCTTAAAACATATGGGCATTTTTAAGAATAAACAAGTAACAATATTGACCAAGCYAAGCTAAAGAAAATCTAAATGAGATGGTTTAATGTTTCAGTGGGGTGCCTGCCGTWGTAGATTTTGCTGCTATGAGAGATGCTGTCAAGAGACTTGGAGGTGACCCATCTAAAATAAACCCATTATGTCCTGCCGATTTAGTTATTGATCACTCCGTGCAAGTTGATTATTCACGCAAGTAAGTTTCCAGTCTTGGTAGGGATGGAGCGGATTTCGTATGAGTGGGAAACGGACGGTACTGTACTGTGTCCGTAATCGTACTGTAACCAAATTCTAGTGCCCCATTGTTTCACCAAAATTCTGCAGGCCAGGTGCGGTAACTGTGCGGTAACCGTGCGGTAACGGTGTCCCACTCATACGAAATCCGCTCTAAGCAAAAATTGAAAATTTTGAAATTGAAATTATTTTCATTAATTTTTTGTTTAATTATCATGAACTTCAAGTATAAGTAATGAAGTATGATATACTTTACAGTATGCCAAGCAAACTGTTTGACCCAGGTGGTACATGGCCAGCCAGAGAGCAAAATTGTCCATTTCATTCACTGCCGTGTCAATGGTGGGCACTAATTGATATATAGTACCATGTATTAGGGCCAGTTTATTGGTTTCTGGTTAATTTTAATAATATGCATAATACTGAGGCTCTGTAAACTGGCCTATTAGTGTTCTTAATTAAACCAGAAGTTTAAAAATTGTTGTTGCGAAAGCTTTAGTATGTGCTGGTTGGCCATAATGTAAAGTACCAAGCACTGCATTAAAATTGTTATTCAATATACGTAGATAATATTTCGTACATAGGAGTAACATTGACTTCAAGAGTAATATTTAACCAGTAATCAGATTAAATTGATTTATTGTTGAGTGTTGTCATGAGCTAACCAAGCAAAAAATTTGAAAACTAATGCTTATAGAACCTACAATAAATGCAGGGCAGTAGCCATCAGTCCAGTTTGTCCAGTTGCTGSACCAGTTAGTCCAGTTGGACCAACATTTGAGGCAAAACACACTTTTCTTTGTAAAATACATGAAATAGTTACTATTATCTCAGCAAAATCAGTCCAATTTTTCAAAAACTGGGTCATTCTAAAAATTGAACTATGCCTAAACTATATCAAWAAGAAAAGTATTCTATTATCTGATATTATATTATTATAAAAATGTGATTATCAATAGTCAGTGTTGATTATTGATATTAATCAAGAATTTATTGAGTCATTTTAACACTGACATTCACAGTAAATATATTATTATAACAGATAATGATTGAGAGTTGCACTTGTTACTATGGTAACCTTATAACATGACAATGCACAACTGTCACCACCTTTGTCATGCACAGTTTCCATATGTTGATTAGATATTGTTTTTTGTTAAAAASCAAAGCTGTATTGTTTAATGTTTTGTTCTAGTGCCGACTCCTTGAAAATGAACCAAGACATAGAGTTTCAGAGAAACCAGGAACGATTTCAGTTTCTCAAGGTTTGTATTTTGTAGTATAGTTATTATATTATTGGTTTTGAATATAGCAATAATTATTTGTTTGTTTTTAGTGGGGATCTAAAGCTCTCAAGAACATGACCATTGTACCTCCAGGATCTGGAATTGTCCACCAGGTATGGTAAATCTATGAAAACAAAGATAAGATAAGAGCTAATGGCTCTCTCCAGTCAAAAATAAACTTACTTGACAAAGATCACTATTTGGTTGAAGTTCAGCATTTCAAGTGGTAGTTGAAATACTGTACGACGCAAATAATAGTGATATTATATCAGTTAAAAGCTTGTTAAATGAAGAGTGTTCAAAATAATGTTTCATGTTTTGTAGGTGAATCTTGAGTACCTTGCTCGTGTTGTATTTGATAACAACAGCATATTATATCCTGACAGCGTGGTCGGTACTGATTCCCATACCACCATGATAAATGGTCTTGGTGTTGTCGGATGGGGTAAGAAACATTCCTTGCATATCAAATGCTTTATATTCCAGACTTGTAAATGCTTGTGATACATGAATGCTTTGACTTTTCAAGGTCTTTGTTCTTCTTAACTAGTAATACATCACAGCAGTCCAGCCTTGTTTGCCTAACTCATGCAAACTTTGATACATATATGAATGCACATGTATGCGAATGCATACTTGTGTACCTTCTCGACTAGTCCTAATGTATGCTCTCATCTCTGTGTGATAAAGTACTTTCTTTGTTTTGGGTGTAGGAGAGCTGATGTGTTTGTTTTTTTTTTCAGGTGTAGGAGGTATTGAGGGAGAGGCTGTCATGCTTGGTCAAGCCATCAGTATGGTACTCCCTAGGGTTGTAGGTTATAAGTTGTTGGGTAATGTCAACCAATTAGTGACATCAACAGACATTGTTCTCACTGTTACCAAGGTAAATAATTCCCTTAAAGTTGAATTGTGAGACTGAAAGGCTATATAGGAATGATAAAAAGTACTTTAGCACACTGACTGATTGCAACAATAGCAGAAGTAAATGGACTTATGCAATGACTCCTGTAGCCTTTCAGTCTCATCCTCTATGTTCTATGATTGAGAACCAATGATGATCGCTTTGAGTGTATATGATTTGAAACTCTATTTATAATTTGTTTTGTTTAGGACTTGAGACAAAGAGGTATGGTTGGCAAGTTTGTGGAGTTTTTTGGTCCAGGAGTTGCATCATTATCCATTGCYGACAGAGCTACCATAGCTAATATGTGTCCAGAGTATGGTGCCACAATTGGTTTCTTTCCTGTTGATGAAAAAAGTATATTATATTTAAAACAAACTGGTAAGACTGGGAATTCAAAGTTGTGTTAAACAAAAAAGATTGTTTTAACTGTATTTTAAGGAGGCTCCATAGAGTATTACTGAAAACGATATTTTGCCTTTTTTGTACATAAGACAGCTTTCAAAATTCATAAAGTAGCTATTTCTTTAATGACTAATAGTTGGAGAATAATTTTACATAAAAATATCCGGGTAGAATGTTGTCATGGAAACAGTACGACCACTACAACAAGGCCCTTATTTGACATTTGAAAAATGATAATTCAGAATTGGCACGGGCAATCTTCTTGAAACTGAAATATGTTGTTTTTTGCAATATTATCAAGTGTATRAAAACGGTTTGAAAAGGATCTGCACATTAGAATTTTTAAAACAACGAAAAAAGTGTTTTTTGTGAATAAAAAGAAATCTGATGTCAAGAATCATTTTATAACTTGCAAAATGATCGATAGTGACACGAATAAAATAATATCCAAAACTGAAGAAAATCGCCCGTGGGGAATTTATTTTATTGTATGTTGAAAATCAAATTTTCTAATGATATGCGCAGAAATAAAATTTTACAAGATCGGCATTTGCGCATGCGCTAGTAAAGAATGCGGGCTCAGTGAACTCGAAGACACGCTCGAAAAAATTCGCTAAAGAAGCCAAATTCTGCGAGTAATCGCTGGATATTTGGGGGAAATATGACGTAAAATACGTTTTACTTCACCTACATTTATTTTTTATTGATTGACTTGAAGTGCTGGATGATTTGGGTTAAAATACAAGTGTTTTTGGTGACTCTTGGGACTTTTCCTGACTTTGGAGGGCACGATAACACTGCAATTAAACCGGTTTCACCGAACTTTGTAAATACATTTAGAAGATCACCGTAGGACAGACCACTTCCCGCCATCTTTGTTTTGAATTTTGTTACCTTAAAAGCTCGCGCCATYGAGCCRGTCGAACCCATGCTTCGCGCGGTTAAAAATACTCTATGGAGCCTCCTTAAAGGATGCTATTAAAGAATGGTTAATGAAGGGTTTATTTCTAAACATAGCCCGGGATGATGACAGAATTGAATTGATTGAAGCTTACCTGAAAGCAAGTCAGATGTTCAGAGACTACACTGATGCAGAGACCGATCCTGTGTTTTCAGAGGTAAAACCAATTGTTATTTTTTACTACTGATTAAATATAGATGTTGGTATATGTTTGAATGATACTTGATAACCTTAATTTGGGATAACATGACAAAGTCTTACACAGTATATTAAATACATTATGGTTATCAAATAGTACAAGTTTGTGTAAAAACTACTTGCTTTCACTCAACAAGAACAACTTCTAAGTTGAAACAAAGTCATGCATCAATCAAAATTTATTAACTCTAGGAATTCCTAGATAACTATTCCAAGATGATTGTTTATTATGTGAAACCTAACAATTGATAATTTCTAATACCAGGTGATAGAGCTCGACCTCAGCACTGTTGTCCCATCATGTTCTGGTCCAAAACGTCCACATGACCGTGTTCCAGTTTCAAAAATGAAAGAAGACTTTGCGTCTTGTCTAAGTAATAAAATTGGCTTCAAAGGCTTTGGAATCCCTGAAGAAAAGCATGCTGATCAAGTACCATTCAAGTTTGAAGATCAAGACTTTATGCTAAAACATGGTAAGTCAATCTTTACTTTATAAAACATGGTCAGTTATTGTTCAGTTTGTGAGCAATACTTATTATTTGTTGTTGTGCAGGTTCAGTGGTGATAGCAGCCATTACCAGTTGTACCAATACCAGTAATCCATCTGTTATGCTTGGCGCTGGTTTACTAGCAAAGAAAGCTGTAGAATATGGATTAAGTGTCTCTCCCTATGTCAAAACAAGCCTGTCTCCAGGGTCTGGTGTAGTTACCTATTACTTGCAAGATAGTGGTGTTATGCCATTCCTGGAACAATTAGGGTAGGTTATGGTGTCCTACAAGTCCAGATAATGATGATTAGAGGGTCATCATTGTTCAGAATATGTGGGAAAAGCAAAAATTGATATTGCAGGTTTTGATATGGATACAATACAGAACAAACTGAATGTTTGTCATTGATTTCTACATCATTTTTTCAATTTTCAGGTTTTCAGTAGTTGGTTATGGATGCATGACTTGTATAGGCAATTCTGGTCCCCTTCCTGAACCTGTTGCTGAAGCAATTGAAAAGGTACTGTCATTATTTATAAAATATACTGTATCGCTGTATATTAACAGAACAATATTGATATTATCGCATTCTACTTGTGTACACAGGGAGATCTTGTTGCATGTGGTGTGCTGTCTGGAAATAGAAACTTTGAAGGACGTATTCACCCATTGACCAGAGCAAACTACCTCGCTTCACCACCACTTGTCATTGCTTATGCACTTGCAGGCACAGTACTGATTGACTTTGATAAAGAACCAATTGGTGAGTTTGTCAGATAACTAATGTATCATTTCATCTAGTGTTGATCATTCTTTTTATCCTGTATAAGTAAAACTATTGTTGGTTTTTATCTTTAAGGTGTCTCAAAAGATGGCAAAGATATCTTCCTTCAAGACATTTGGCCAACAAGAGATGAAATTCAGGTAGAATCAGATGTTTCTTGTCAGACACAAGATTTCTTAAAACCTTAAGCATATTGTTGACTTGATAGATATGCAGTGGTACACTATATTATAGCTCATTGGATAATCCTGTTATTTTGTAGGCCGTAGAAAGGCAGTTTGTCATCCCTGCCATGTTTAGAGAGGTCTATGGTAAGATACAGGTATGTGGATCCTTTGATCAAGAGATAATTGGCATTGCTTGACAATTRTTGACTGATTTCAGACTGGAAACCCCAAATGGAATGCTTTGGATGCACCAGACAGTCTTTTATATCCATGGGATGTGAAGTCTACCTATATCAAAAACCCTCCTTTCTTCGAGAAGATGGTAAATTCTATTTTTTTAATGTTTTTTTAAAGATGGCTCAGGTTTTACATGGTGAAACATTTTCTCCAATTACTKTAATTTTAGCAAGCATAAAAACATTAAATTTCTATACAGTAAAAATAATAACAATGATAACTTTGTTTTAGAATAAAGATTTGCCAGAAATTAAGAGCATTGAAAATGCARGTGTGCTTCTGAAYCTTGGAGACTCAGTCACTACAGATCACATCTCACCTGCAGGAAGCATATCTAGGACYAGTCCCGCTGCACGATACCTTGCAGGGAAAGGGTAAGTGTAATTTCTTTCACTAACATTTTGGTACTACAAGATTGCTATTGTGTATAACCTACCACCTTTCTTATCCATCTACCTGGTCTAGTTTATTGAACATTATGTAACCATATCTTGTGTATTAGACTGGTACCAMGAGAGTTTAATTCATATGGGTCTCGTCGTGGGAATGATGCTATCATGGCTCGTGGTACTTTTGCTAACATTCGTTTGTTGAATAAGTTCATGGGCAAAGCYATGCCTAAAACAAAGCACTTTCCTTCAGAAGATACAGTAAGCAAACATTTTACTTATCCATCCATCTTTTTTTCTTTCAATTATTATTTATTCATCCTGCCACGAATTCATTTGTGATTTGACTGACAGATGGATATTTTTGATGCTGCTGAACGATACAAGACTGAGARTCGTCCAACAATAATACTAGCTGGCAAGGATTATGGCTCTGGTTCATCACGTGACTGGGCTGCTAAAGGACCTTGGATGCAGGTAAARGAACAATTTACTGCTRCTTCCTTACTTGACAAATGAATTTGATACAAATTTCTTTTGAATCTCAGGGAATCAAAGCTGTAATTGCACAAAGTTTTGAGCGAATTCATCGTAGTAATCTTGTTGGTATGGGGATCATTCCTCTTGAATTCATGCCTGACCAGAATGCTGATACCCTGGGTCTGACTGGGAAGGAGTCTTATACAATAATAGTACCTGAAGATTTGAAAATTGGCACAATTACTGATGTAAAGGTAAGTACGTCAATATTTCCAAAAATCTTCCATTGAATCAGTCATTCAATCTTTCAAATCAAGCATTCATTGCAAGCATTAATTCCATAAAACGTTTTGATATAACAAATATCTAATAGACCTAGGATTTATCACTAATGATGGGTGGATTTATCACTAATGATAGTTGGATTTATCACTAATGATGGGTGGATTTATCACTAATGATGGGTGGATTTATCACTAATGATAGTTGGATTTTCACAAAATGACATGGTTATTTGTGTTTTGACAGCTGAGTGATGGCCGTTCATTTCAAGCCAAGATACGCTTCGACACTGATGTTGAGTTGACTTATTTCAAACATGGTGGAATTCTGAATTACATGATAAGACGTATGCTGGACAATTGAGGACATTTTGAATTCAAGTCATCATCTTTCATACAACCCCTTCATGATTACGGGCTTCCTGTGGCAGAACAGAACTTCCAATTGTTATGGACTACCTCTGGAACAGGCTAGACTGATTATGGGGTTCCTGTGTAAACGGTCTAATATGAACCTTGGGAACTTGGGTTGAGAAATCCATAAAAAAGAAGCCAGTGATAGATCCAGGAGAAAGGCACCATGAAATATGGATTTCTATCAATTTTCTTCCTTTCTTTACTATCTTCAAATCCTAGAAATGCATTTCTTTTAACATTAAGCAGAGCTAGAAAAACAAGTTTCCTCATTCATTGCATGTGTAGTTTTGGGGATTAGGTCAGTGACAGCAATTATCTTTCTTTTTCTTTTATTAATTAATTCAAAATCTTAGAAAGCCATATTGTTGAATATTAGATTATGATAATAAAATTATGTCTATTTACTGTTTGAGTCTAATATTTTTATGATGCTCATATATGGCCAATAATATTAAATGTGGATTTTAACCAAATTTTACCGGCCCAAACAAAGTCGGTTTAATAGCCCACATTCAATATTTTGATTGACTAAACTACCCTAAATAAATCGAAGACAAGGCTCAGAGGAAACAATAYATAATTCCTTTGTTTCTTAAGAGCCTTGTCTGCAATTCTTTAGTGTATGACCATTCAAATGTTTTTTTTCCTAGACAAAATCAAACAATAGACACACATTGTGTATATCATGAGCACCAATCTTCATCTTCAGTTACTCAAAACACTTTTATTGGGCTTCCTTGAAGGGCTTTTTTGTCCAGTCAAAAAATATCCACTTTGGTTCTATCARCTGACTGTAGTAATCAGTRACAGTTAGCGTTCCTCTGCAAACAGCTACAATTTGAGCCATGTGATCATCATTGACTTTATCGCTGTATTCTAGAACAAGTGATCGTAGTACAGGACAGTAGGTTGTTGATCTGAATGGYAGGTCATCTCCAAGATGTTTGGCTATTTCCTATTGAATAAATTTTCAACTCTTAGTATTTGGCCTTCTTTAATTGGCATATTTTACCCACRTGATTCCATGGGAATCCTGTGTAACAAAGGAAGCCCAAAAATCTGGACTTCAATAAGAACTATCAAAGGGTGAAAGCACTGTCAAGCAATCTTTACCATCAATCACCCTTTACCAAATATCACCTACCATTGAGCATGGTTTAAGAAATGTCTCAGCTGACCCACCATGTAGCTGGCTCTTAAATTTTCTCCTTAACATAACTTCTTGTTTAGACCTCCACATGAATAAATCTGATATGATGKGTAGAAATGGCTTGGATGTCAGTGCCTTCAGGCCTGATAAGTTTGCTTCTTGAAGATGACAGCAGTTTGACATAAGTGCACAAACACCAACTGATGTCAAACTAGAGTTCCAACTTACATCAATAGATACCAGATTAGGCAGGTTGGTTGCCAAGGTTGTCAGCATCTGGTCTGAAAGATTGCCCAAGAAACTCTTTAAAATTTGTTTCACTGAATATTGTTTATCATTGCTGCTGAATGTCAGCAAATAGAATTGTACAATCAACCATTCAATGAAATTCTTTTTACTACTGACCTGTGAACTGGTCAATTCCTGCAATGTTCAAAGATGTCATCCCATGGCAACATGACAACATTTCTATGGTTACAAATGAGGCTGCACATTGACGTAGTGCAAGACTTTGTAGACTRGTACATGATGTTACCATAGCAGACATTCCCTTGTCAGTCAAGTCTTCACACCATGAAAGGTCTAGGTCATGCAGCTAAGGGTATAAAGAATGCTGTTAACTCTACAATATCATTGTTAATAGTAATTTTGATTTTGACAGGATTGATTGATGCTATCACAATGCCCTTCCAACTGCAAGATTGATGAAAAAGGTGATTGAGTGCAAGATTGCAAGAGCATTGTTTTGGATTCACACCAAACAAACTGTTGGACTATTCTTCCTGGACCTGTCCTGTGCACGCCCCTGGTGAGAGAGGTTTCATTCACCTGTGTATAATTTGGAAAGCTGCCTATATAATCAGATCCTTTACCTTATCACCACACTGTTCTGTAATGGCAAACATGGTGATATCTGTGATTGATGCTTCAGCTAGTGACAGTGATTGYAGTGATGGTGATGACAGCATAGGGACAACACCTCCATCAGTTATGAATGGTACACCTTTAAGATCTATTTTCTTCAGTTGAGGACAGTAGACAGGCAATACCTTGAGTGATTTGTCAGTTATTTTCTCACAATCAATCTGAAAATAATAAGGATTGACTTCAACTTGGGCAAGCAAGTTATCCCTATTCAACACAAGTGATAATTTGTATGTTCAATCAATTTAAAACTGAACAAGACTTACTAAAGTCAAAGAGCAAAGTTCTGGTACACTCTTGAGAARACTTATCAAGGTATCATCATCCAACTCTGTCCATGATGTTGTAAAACKTTTCAGTGATTTATTCATATTCATAAACATCTTTAAACAGGCCACGCCCAAGGCTTTACTATGAAAATAGATGCTACTTATATCAATAGAATGAAGTTGAGGATTATGGGTCAACTTTAATGGAATAGTTCCTGTATGGAAAGATGATTTAACAATGGACTGTCTATGAGAATTTTCAGGTGTCTGTATGCAATTAACACTAGATTTCACCGTGTCAGCCTGGTGCTCTTTATTTCCATCACCCTTGTTGAGAGAGGAGTCCTYTTCTTCAGKAARCATAACTAAGTTGATTTGTTCAGTAGAGATTGGGTCCAAGCTGTCAACTTTCAAATCAACACAATCACTACCTACTTCTTCATTCTGATTAATTGATGGTTTGTTTCCATGGAAACCTGAAAAATCAGCATTTCCATGGCAACATAAAGAGCCAGGCTCTTCATCTGTTTTATCATRAGTAGAATCCATTATTACTAGTTGATTTTTATCATCATCATTAACACATTCATCTTCATCATCATCACTGTCATCATTTATCAAGTCTCCCATTGCAGCAGTAAGACTGATCAMAGCRTCATGAAGAGGTGAAGACAGGTTRTCTGAATACACTTCATCAACACTGAAAATGTCAGCCAAATGTTTATCAGCTTCATCCAATAWATGATCTTCCTCGTCACAGCTACTAAAGTCAGATTTACCATTGGTAWTGTCTTGTGAGTCAGTGAGTAAAGAAAGTGTTGGGTTTGCTTGGATGCAGCTGTTTTTGTCTGAATCTCCATCATCATTGTMATCATCATCATCATYATCATCATCCAATGATTCTAAATTGATAAAGGCGCTAGTAAGACATGCTATTCCATCCTTAAATGCTGATGAAACTGAATCCTCTGATACATCACTCCATATATGGTCATAAAGCCCACCATTGTCACTACATAATTGGTCAATCTGTTGCCATGACAGCCATTCATCATCAAGAGAATATCTGTCTTGAGTTGAAACAGTTTGATTTGTTATGGTGTATTCATCACTGATATTGCTGACAGATTCCCTTTCCATAAAATTACCCTCAATTGGATGATTATCATATTGTTCAACTTTGCATGAAAGACTGTCTTTTTCTTGATCTCCATTTGATTTGAGTCCTGATCCACCTGGTGATGATGCACTGCATTTTGAAGAATAAAGTTCTGTGGCAAGGTAACTATCTACTTTGTTATTGTCTCCAATATCATCTGTTTGTCTCTGTGAATCATCTTTGAATATATCTGAAACAGAGTATTCTTTGTAGACTATACAATGTTCATCATTGTCTTTGTCATCCCTTACAGGATTAATGTCCAAAGGCAACTCAAAATGTCTAGAATCATTTTTGCAATTTTGCTGAGTCTCTTCTCCATGTTGAAAAACCTGATAAGTTTCTTTGTTATYGTTAGTGCATTGTAAGTTGTCATTCACTGGATCAGAAGAAGTGTCCACATTTGTTGTGCTTTCATCACATTCTTGTTTAGAGTCTGTTTCCAATAATCGAACACATGAAGAATCTGCTTGTTCAACAAACTGTTTCACACCTTGTAGACTTAACCCTGAGAGATAGAGCAAAGCAATACAACCAACACCTGTCCATGCTATATTTATGGAYTTAAGTGARTTTCCACATAAATCAACCAAATTTCTGATGGCAACACTTGTTAATGTTTGACAGCCAGATATATCAACACTTGCTAGATGTCTTCCTGCTTGCTGTGCTCGCTGGGATAGCTTGTTTTTGTGGCTGGATGGTKTCAATGCAAAAGCTTTATCAGTGATGTTTTTGCAACTGGAAATGTTCAATTGCTCAAGCTTTGGACAGCACATTAAGATAATCTGGACACAATCGTCAGTYAATACTTCACAGTCTTCAAATAACAAGGTTGTGATTTTAGGAGCAAAATCTTTCAAACAACAAAAAACTGATGGACGCAGGAGACTGTTACAGCCAGTGAAATCCAGTTGGTGGATATGGCTGCATCTATAAATCAAAAAAAAATGATCATAGTCAGACTTAGGTGCAACAGCTTAAGCTTAAACGACTTTCGAAATATTAAGTTTTTGCTACGTTACCTTTCAATGGTTTTGATTAGTCCATCACAAGTTACAAAAGAGCATCCTTTCAGATTTATATGTCTSATGTGTTTCGGTGCCAACAAGAACAAAAGTTCATCAGTCAATTGTTGAGGAAACTTTTCKATAATGAGTATCAAAACATCTTCACTCAGACAATTTCCTTCTGTTGAGCGAAGCAGCTCGATGAGAAGCCGTCGTTGTATGCAATCTTCCGATTTACAAACAAGAGTCCTTACTATCACAGTCTGGGCCAAATTTCGCAAAATCGGAGGTTGCATTTCACGAATAAGAAAGAAAGAAAACAATCTTGTTTTGGCAAGAAAKCGACATATTGCTTTTGTACCACAATGCATTGCCGTCGTTGCATTTTTCATTCCCATTTTCTTCTTTTTATGTTGCCATATTTTGACATATGATACTGCATTTATTACAAATAAGAAATGAAAGGTATGATTTTGATCATGTAACGATAATACCTGACTTTTATGCACAATTTCTGTTCAGATTAATCCGGATATTCCTTGGGCTCCCTGTGGTTGAACAACGTGAGAGATATGGCTGCAAGCGACTCGATTTCTAAACGTGGAATCAAATACAAAGACTACATTCCTTTATTAAAGAAAGTCGAAGGCATATGGAGCGAAAATAAGTTCGAAGAACTCTCAAATCCTGAGGTAAACTTGTTTGAAACTACTTGCTGCCACCAGTTAGATAACCATAACTTAAGGAAATTATGGGTCGAAATTATGGTTTATCCTAACTTCTGGTGATGGTGAGTGTCCTAGATCGTCCTAGATCTCCTAGATACAACAACCAAGACTTGTTCGTACTATATATACCATGAGATTTTAAACCGAGAAATCAAGAAACAATAGTACTCAGGTTCCCATTGTTGCATGTGACTTCATTGTTTATACGTGCCTGTTCGTACGTGAAGTGCGTTGACTGGAAAGAATTTCAATTAAGCTTAATGACTGTCATGGCCTCTCTATCCAAACGCGGGTTTTCTTACAAATATTTTACGGATAAACTGCATGAAGCTCTKAAAATAGCAAATCAAAACCAGCATTACGATGAGCACGTTAATCCAGAGGTAAGGATTTTAAGAACATAAGTAAGCTAAAACAGGTATAGCGTGCAAGATACCCATGCGGCTCTATTTACACCATAACTTACATCACGATGGCCGCGTAAATATATATTTTTTGTTTCATTGAAAAGGTTTTCACACAAAAAAATCAATGCAAAATAACATTGGTGCTCTGATCATATAATTTCTAAGTCTACTAAATTTCTAAGATTACCGGAGTATAATTTATACGCTGTGTCTATATACATGGTCTACTACATAAATCCCGGCTATATCTGTATATAGCCCGGGTTTATCCTGACTCAGTCAGATAAAAATAAGTAAGTTATAACTTAAAAACCGTCACAAAACAACTGTGAAGCAACTATGATTTATTTTTTTTAGGGTATCATTAATCTAGGAACCAGTCAAAATAAACTGATGTTTGATCTGTTAAATGAGAAGGTATAACTAACAAAGATTAAGAGGTGCAACAAGTGGGTCATCATGATTAGTCAGTTTCAATCATTCATTTAATCAGTATCAACCAAGCTGTCAGTCAATCATTCAATCATAATTAAAACAGCATTCATTTATGTCAGCCAGTCAATTAAGCACACAATGTACAATCATTAATTGAGGTACCTTTGATTTTAGTTCAGTGATCCATTAAACCATCAAGTCCATGAGGAATACACACATTATGGTGGTGAAATAGGATACACAAGGTTAATGTTAAGTATGCCACACTTTGTAATTATAATGTTAACAAAGTGTGGCATATTTAGTTGTTTTCACTCTCCTTTCTGTGAACATAACAAATTTCCAGTTTTAGCAGACTAATGTTCTTTGCTCTCTGTTTTTTTCCCCAATTAGCTTTAGAGAAGCAATTGCAAAATTTCTAAACCATGTAATGAAACCAGCCAAGTCCATATTGCCTGGGAACGTACGTGACTTTTGGTATTAACCATTCTATATAACGTATTATAAAATTATATGTTCTTCAAACATTATTTTTAGGTGTTTACTCACTCATTTGTTTGTTAAGCTATTCATCTGTCTTTTGTCTATATTTCAGCTCATAACATTGAATGGATGTGGATCAGTTGTTGAGGCACTTGGTTTGGTGTTAGCTGATCCAGGAGGTAATTTTACGCAATTATTATGGGATAAAAATGAATGATAATATCAAATATTATTATTAATATTATCTAAGTCAAGGGACAAAAATATAATTAGTTTATTAATCTTCAGAGGGATTTTTGACACCTGCACCTTATTATGGAGGGTTTATAACCGATCTCCAAACAAGAGCAGATGTAAAAATCGTGTCGGCTGATATACCTTCTCAGGTAAAGATTGATATAATCATAATGAATTCTACTTGTCTAATAATCAATAATTTTATTATATATTTGCTTTTTCTAAAACTTCAGAGAAGTGATGGTCAATCAGGTTCTCAATATCAACTAACTGTGGACATATTAGAGAAGGCATATAATGGTGCAATACAGGAGGTAAATAGGCCCTTTCCATCAACTGATTTTGATCTTTTAAATAAAAAATATAAGGGCAAGTGGAATTCCAAGAATTGATATTACTTTTGGCATGCTAAAACAATATTTTCTGAAAATTTGAGTTAAATAGATTTAACAGCAATTAATCCTATTGACTGGTTGTATTGAAACTACAAGAAAATTTGGAACATTTGGAAAAAAGACACTTATTTTAATGTAAATTTGATTTTAATTAAGGGTATAAAAATCCGTGCTCTTTTGCTTGTTAACCCCAACAACCCATTTGGATATATTTACACTGAGGAGGAAATCCAGGAGTATTTGCAGTTTGCACATCGGTAAGAAAGAAATAATGTACCATCAACAATGTGAATTATTAAAATAATTAAAGTAATTAAAATATATTGCATGAATTTTAAGCAGCAAGCAGCTTTTATTGTGTCATAATGAGTGTGGTATTTAGATCAATTATATTTACAGCAGTTTTACCATGATTGTATTTCAGAAATGATATTCATGTAATCATGGATGAATTGTACTTACTATCAATATTCAAGGAAGGTTGTACTATGAAAAGTGTGCTGAGCTGCAAAAAGTAAGTCTATTTTCAGTATTATCATAAGCTTTGTTGTTTTCTTGTTATATAAACTTCACTGATATACTGCAATACTACCATTATCAATATGTCACATTGAATAAATAAACTTACTTTTCTTGCACTATAAGTATTCCAGACCCTAAACGTTTGCATGTTCTTTGGGGCCTGAGTAAAGTAAGTAAATCACAAAAGAGAAGACATTTCAATTACCATTTATACCTAAAATCATTGAGTCAATTACTGGACAAGTCATGCAATTGAAACGAAATCCAACGTTTCGACCGAGACCATCGGTCTTCATCAGGGTGGTTATGAGCTGGTCGAAATGTTGGATTTCATTTCAATTGTCGTTTCAGTTGTCCAGTAATTCATTAGACGATTTTAAGTATTTATCAACTGGATGAATAATTTACATTTTGATACCATTTACACCTATTATATAAGTCCTCTGTCTGACAAATTAGGACTTTTGTGTCTCTGGTTTTCGTTGTGGCATTCTTCACACTACAAATCAAGATGTATTTGACTCTATTGAAAAGTTTGCTGAGTTTCAACAAGTTTCACCTTTGGTTCAAGTAAGTAAAATTATCATACCATGTTCTAACTCTGAATTGTCTTTACTGCATATAGTATCACAGATTTATTGATTTATTTCAGCACATATTTASGAATATTCTGAATGATTTGGGTAAGTGTAAACATTTCAAGTATTAATTTTATGCATGAATATCTGATAAGAATTGTTAATTTTTATAAACATGATCATGACCTAACCCATCCCAGCCCATGGCATGTAGATTTGAGTTTCTGCGTCATAAAAGAAGAGAAAATCATTCAAAACTGWATTTCTGTTTCTGTTTGTAAAGACTGGATAGATAACATTTACACTCCAACYAATCATCAAAGACTTAGAGGGAACTACAAAACAATCTGCGAAACTTTACAAAAATGTAGAATTCCTTTTGTGGAAGCTGTGGCTGGCTTCTTTGTTTGGGCTGACTTCAGACAGGTAATTTGAATGCAGTGTTTGTCATAGACGTTTTACCTCGAGCAAAAAATATAATGCTTTCCGTTGAGGGAGATCAACTATAAGCTGTATCAGAAGGACTTATATCTTTTCTTGTAGAACCTCTTATTGCACAAGCAAAGGATTACTAAGTGCTCCTGTCAAGTCATCCTGTAGTTTTATCAGCTGAAAACATCATCACTTATTTTTTATTTCAGTTTTTGAAGAAGCCAACTCACAAGGATGAATGGAGAATATTCAATATTTTCATTGATAATAAACTGTACATTATGCCTGGAATTGCTTTTGCCTCACAAGAACCTGGTTGGTTTCGTATTGTCTTTTCACACAAATCAAGCATTCTCAGTTTAGGTAATTAAAATTTATTTGATRGTATCCATATTAGAATTTTGACAAATATCTGCATTTGTTGTACAAGCTGGTTTGTATAGACTACATGTTAATACTGGTAATGCATTTAAACTATGGTATTTCATTATTTGTCTTTAAGCAATGGACAAGTTTATAAAGGCTGTTGATGTTTGCAGAAAAGAACTGGAAAATTAGAAAAATCTGGCAGTGCTAGTCCAGATGTTCTCTGCTGGTCCAGGCATCAAGGGGATGAACTACTACAATAATTTTTACTCTCTGCTCATGCAATCTTTTTTACTCTGTGTATGGTATAAAATGTCTAACCATAAAATTATACTATATGATATTACATGAAATGAACTAAGACATTAGTAGTAGTAACCTTTGTTGCTTTGTCTCTTGGTGTACTTTATCTAATAAGCTGATCTTTATGGGTTTATTAATTAATTAACTAATTATTAGTTTATTAGTTATTACATTATCAAAGAGTGTCTACATGATCTCTAAATATTTTCTGTCTTCTTGATACTATCAGCTTCATCAAGTACCTGGAAAAGATGGATCACAATACTTCATACTTCTTATTTCTTAGTTTTTAAGTTAAAAGCCCATGGTCCCAAAAACATTTTTTTCCGGTGAATATAATTTTTTTTACATTGTATGTCTAGAGGAATGGATGATTTTGTCCTCATGTATTGCGTCGTAGGGTCAATATATACGTCATGTATGTGTTGAACATAAATAAATCTGTTTGATATGAGAAGAAGCTCTGACATTAATATTCTCATTAATACCTTTTGTGCTTGGTCATGTTTGTTTAGATTCTTTAACGTTAACCCAAGGTTGGTGAGCACATCAACCAAAGATGGATGTTTGTCACCATAAACTTCCTTCCTGACCTTCACTGCTCTCTCAGCATACTTCCTAGCTTCCTCAAATTGGCCAAGATTTCTCAGAACATTCGCTAATGCACCAAGAGTATCAGCTGATGATGARTGGTTTTCACCAAAGTTTTTCTCCTCAATCTCCAATGACCTTTCCAACAGAGGCTTTGCTTCTTTGTACTCTTTGCAAGAGACATGTACATATGCAAGGTTTCCTAGGTTGACAGCTATCAATGGATGCTCTTCTCCAAATTTGGATTTCCTTGTAGTGAGTGCCTTCTGAAGGCAATCCTTTGCTTTACTGTGCTGACCAAGGTCAGAGTATAATAGCCCAAGGGTCTCATTCAATGATGCTAGTAAGGGGTGATCTTCTTGAAATGTCTTTTGTACAATCTCCATTGCCCTTTCTGCATACTTTCTTGATTTTTCTAGATCACCAAGATTTCTTTGAACACTAGACATGTTATTTAATGTTGATGCTAAATTGGGATGGATTTCATCATGACAGCCTTCTTCTATTTGCAGTACTGTTTCATAGACCTTCAAGGCTTCACTGTATTCTTCAAGATGACAAAGAACGGTACCAAGGTTTCCAAGCACTTTTGCTGTTTCAGGATGCTTTTCACCATGCTTTGACTTGACCATTTCCAATGCATCTTCTATGTATTTCTTAGCTTGCTTATACAGGCCAAGATCTATCAGAACAAGGCCCAGATTATTTAAAGTACGAGATGGCGAATCTTTTGTAACAGGCATGGTGTTGTGAATGGCCAATGCCCTTTCAAAGCATTTTTGGGCTTCTTTGTAATGACCCAAGCATCTCAGGATGCTTCCAAGGGTATTCAATGTGTCAACAATTTTGGGATGAGTTTCTCCATATGCTGATTCTTGAATCTCAAGTGCCTTTTCACAATGTAGCTTTGCTTCCTGTAACTTTCCAAGCTTGTTGCAAACTATTGCTAGATTCACCCAGGTGATAGCTAATGTAGGATGTTTGTCATCATAAATGGACTCTTCAACCACCAAGGATTTCTCTAAACAATGTTTGGCATCTAAGTATTTTCCTAGCTTTATGAAAACTTTGGAAAGATTTCCAAGAAGAGAAGCTAACGTGCTACCACTTCCATTSAGTTTTTCAGCCATATTTATTCCTCTTTCAAGGGTTCTCTTAGCTTCTTCCATATGATTCATTTCGTAAAGTGTATCCCCCAGCATGCCAAGTGTTTTGGCTTTTTCCACATGATTTTCAGGGTAGATGTTCTCCTGTATATTAAGGGTACGCTCAAAGCAATCTTTGGCATCTGCATAGTTATCACACATCAGATAGACACTGGCAAGGCAACCCATTGTCATTGCAACTGAAGCATCTCCTTCTCCATCTGCAATTTCTTGTTGAATCTTCAATGCTTCTTCCAGATACTTTCTTCCCTCCTCATAATTCCCCAAGTCTGCAGTTATGTTYCCTAGGTTAGCCAGTGATTCAGCATATTGTTTTTGGTCATTTTCAGGCATTTTTGACTTTATCTCTAGTGATCTCTTGAAATACTTCTGTGCCTCTGCGTATTTTCCAAGAACTCTTGTTATGTTTCCAAGGTTATCAAGAGCTTTAGCAACTTTTAATGGCTCACTTTCTGGCGAATTTTCTAGGATTTTGACCTTTTGTTCAGCACAATTTTTTGCTTCTTCATACTTGTCAAGATGAAAGAGATTAAAAGAAAGACTTCCCAGTGTTTCAGCTATTTTAGGGTGGTTCTCATGGTAGGCCATCCGATAGATCTCAAGGGCTCTCTCAAAATAAGATATAGCTTCATTATGCTCTGCCACACATTTGTGGAGTTCACCAAGTTGACAAAATGTATCAGCAATGACTGGATCCTTTTCRTCTAGCGCTGTTTCTTGGATTTTAATCAACCTTTCAAACATTTCCTGGGCTTCATCGGGTTGTTCTTCTTGAAAATATAGATTTGCAAGCTTGCTGAGGGTGGGGGACAATTCCTGGTCTTCTTCGCCAAACTCAYCTTCTTCAATTTCCAATACTCTCTCAAAACACTGTCTTGCTTTGTACTTTAAATCTAAGTTAGTGTGAATGTCACCCATCTTTTTCATCAATAGCAATTCTTTGMTTACATCATCTTCATCAGAATAGTGATCCTCAAAGCTTGAGCATATGTTTAACATTTTCATACGTGCTCTTGCCATTTCATGTGAATTACAGAATTTTGAAATTAAAGTTAGCACAGTTAAAACATTGTGTTCATCATCAAGGGGAAGATCCATCAAAACAGGATAGTCATCAATGAGTATGTGCAACTGGGTTACAATGTAATCAATGTGTACAACAAGAGGTCTGGTGGAATCCAAATCTTTGGTATCATCAAAGTCTGCAAGGTTCGGAAATGATCGCATGGTTAGTTTGCAAAGGACTTCTAGATGGTTTAAAGGATTAAAAATCTTGATGGGTTTGGAATCAGGAAATATATTTCGAAGTGCATCCGTGTCTCGAAGATCACTTGCTTCCTGGAGACAGCTGTAAACAAGATGATGGACAGCAATAACTTCCAAAAGCCTTCCAAGAACTAGAGGACATGAAAAGATGGCATTTTTTATCTCAGCTTCTTCTCCCCCAACCATATTCTTCACATAATTTACAACGTACTGAAAAGGAATAGGCTGTGGAGCCATGAATGACAAAAGCTGCAAGGTACATTTGGTGATTTCGTCTTTTTCTGACAGCTTTCTCACTGCCTTATTTACGGCATTGATTGTGGTTTTTGGGTATTTTACAGTTTCGTCATCAGTTTCATCTTCTTGTTTAGCCATCTCAATGTCTTCCAGACACATCTTCCAAAGATTTGTGACATTAGTCTGTGAAGATTTATCCAATTCCTTCAATCCCAGTGCACTGCACACTAGTGCTAGTGGTTGGAAATCAAGAGCTTTTGCCACTCGGGCTACGATGTCTTCATTATTTGGTAGGCCTGAGAGTTGGGTGAGAATTTGTACTGATTCAGAGGGACTGATGCCATCACTCAAAGGAAGCTCAATCATATGAGAATCCTGACATTCTAAGAATTCTGTAGTTATTGACTCGGTAGTGATTAACACCTGACCTTTGCCATACTTTGACTCATCTCCAATTTGAAGCCATTGACTGGTATCATTAAAAATGCATTCAGCATCTGTCTTTGCACCATCCACAATCAGCAACCAAGAGGAATTCTCATTTATACGATTTCCTATCAAAGCTTGTAAGAGAGGAACTTTATCTGCAACTCCAATCTGCAACTCTTTATCTAAATCACAGATCTTTCTGATGCTTGGTTTGTCACATGGGAGGATATTTGCCAGGTCAATATGTGATTGAAGGATGGAATTCAAAGAACATGCATCTACTGTAAACACAAAATCATATTCTGAAGCTTTTTCAGAGAAAAACTTTTCACCAATTTGACGAGCCAATTCRGTTTTCCCACATCCAGAGCAACCCGAGAGAACAACAGCAGTCAAATTGCTGGGTTGTGAAGTCTTCAAACGGTGCATTTCACCATAAATTTTATCTACATCATGGTTTCTCCRTACGATTTCATGAGATGGTTTAAGAGGCAAAACACAAAATGATTTTGACTGCTCAGCAAGCTTCATTTTCTTTGTTTTTGGCTCTCCAATCTTACCTTTTTCTTCCATTAAAGCAAAGGCAACTGAAATCAGTAAATATTAGATTTATGGAATACATACAAAATAGAAAATCAATGTTACACAGAATCCAATAGATGATTAAATTCCTAGGAAAAATTGATGACATGACGAAAGTCTGGTGAAGTAATACCGTAAATGTGGTAAGGTAGACCTAGAATTGGAACTTGATTTTTGTATGGGCATTTACAAATTTATCTGATGTCAGCTATTAATATCTCAGCTAACCTTCTTCTGACTATTATTGTCGGGCTTCCTGTGTATGCTGGGCAAGTTTGATCTAGCTGGCGTCCAGATACAATCGGGAAGTACGTAGATCTTGTTTCGAATATTAGTCAACAAATTCAACACTTCTCAGTCCACAAATATCCAAAATCACTTGTTCAAAATATGTTGACATTCATTTACTTCATATACTCTTCTAACGTCCTCAGATGAATAATTTATTTTTCACGATTTTCACGAAAATTAAGGCGCTACAGTGTTGAGAATACGAATCTTGTCAAAAAGAGTAACTTTAAGCTAAACTTACTGGATTCAAAACACTTACCTTTGAAAAATTGTGAACAAGAAACGGAGAATCTTCGAGTTAAACGTGTTGAACAGAGAAGCGACAGCTTGCAGCGAAGCCACACCAGACAGTCGAACGCATGGCGGTGGAGAATATGAACAGCGTGAAGTCATAACAACGTCATAGTTGTCACGACAGACAAGAACACCACCGCCCAATACAGTCACGAGAAGAAATAATGATACTTTCGTGTTGCAATTACTTAAATCGTCCAGACGGAAATTGTCARATCATTTTTATTTTGAGATTAAATGTTTTCAAATTTTGCATATTAAGCAAATTGACCTTTTTCTTTAGTTTTAATGAAGCGTCTAAAAAAATGCTTTCTCAGGCTTATTTCTTATTTCAGCTTAATGGTGCACTTTAGATATCAAATTGAAAATTCATTTTCTATTAACCTTCTCAGCCTGACCCTTCTTCCTAAATATAGTTTTATTTCGTTTTGAAACGCGCTACTTCCGGTCTAAGTGACTCGGCCCAGACTTGCGCTATCATTTCCAAGAAGAGGAAGAATGCTCACATGAACTGAGGAGAAGTCTTGTGATCTTGGGCATCATATTATCATGAAACTTTAAAACTTCTTCAAAATGGCAGACGAAGAAGTCAAGCTAACTGTGCACTCGAAGCCTAAACTTGAAATTGAAAAAGTTCGTGATACTCGTCCATCGGTATGGCTGTCTATATTCAAATGGCTGTTTGCAATCTTGTTGGCGGTGATGGTACTTTCTTGCGTAGTTGCAAGCAAAATATCTCTTATATCAATCGGTATTTTTTACAATACTACACATAGTCCATGCGCTCATGTGCCGTTAATCAGTTATGCTCAAGAAACCACATTTATTATGATGGTACTAGTGTTAATGATCCCACAGTTCGTCTCTTTTGTGAGGTCTAGTTGGAGTGGGTTATTTAGTGAGTTCCATCCGTGGCCATCTAACTCAGCTATTATATGGGTAAGTATACTTATTAATATGCCCCTCAATATAAGACAAGAAGCATTATTGTTACAATTATTGGGGTAATTTTGTGTGAAAATGAGATGGTTCCACCGTGCAAATTAAAGTTTGTACAACTTTCAGACATTAAAATAATTCCATAAAAATCATCTCTCCCAGTTTACTATCTGCTGAAATAGTTTGTCATGGCAAAAAAGTCAGTAGCAAAAACCATGGCCTATGAGATTAGTTGATGAGGAAAACAGGCAGGAAGATTGACAACCTGATGTACAAGGAAATATCATCTTTCCCAGAAACTTACAAACTGAAATGCCCTACCACTTGACCCTGCAAGATCATGTCAGCCAACCCACACCGCGCTATTCATGTGACGTCCAAATAATCTACATCAAAAATATATTATAATCCTCATTAGCTAGTAACCCACTCAGGTGTTTACCAGGTGTCTGTAAGAATTTTCTTAGCCTCTTTTTGTATAATTTATCTATTGTTTTAAAAGTAAATTTTAAATTTGCTTATACTTTCAGACTGTGTTGGCTGCTTTTCTTGAAGTCAGTGGACTTTCGTTTTTTGTTGTTGTTATTATCCTTAAAACAACGGTGACAGCAGCTCATTGTGTTATCGTTATGAACAGTGTATTCCTGTTTCCCATCATCTGGCAACTCTACAGGACTAGACAAAGAGGCAGGACCAGATCATTTGTATTTCTTATTATTCCCCTTATTCTTGAGCTTATTGGCATYATAGTACTCTCTTATCATGTAAGTATATTGATGTTGTGATTACTGTTATAATAATTACTTGATACATCGTATTGATTATGCATTATAGACAAGATTGAAATTATKTAGCACCTATTTTGTACTATTTGTTTCATTGTTTAATTTTTCCTATTCTATGCTCATCTTTTTTTCATCTTGTCCCTGTTAGAATTTCTATATCCACTAGACTTGAGTGTGATGGTTAAGATTCATTCATGAATTTATAAATCCATTTATTCAGGCTTATATTCAGCTAGATTTGTCAGTTAATACATTACTGAAAAACCTTTAATTGAAAACTGCATGTTTCACAGGTAATCAACAAAGAGGATATTCAAAAGTTTATTTGGATGCCATTTTCTCTTCTTCTTGTGTCTATGGCATGGAGCAGCAAAATTCAACAGCTTCAGATAGAACCAAGAAATAGTGAAAGAGATCATATATCAAGAGAAGATWCTCTTGCAGTAAGATCATTTATCAAAATACATCATCATAGTGTGCATGTACATGGTCATCCCATTGTTCTGGGAACTTCTTTCTGTGGGCACCATTAAGTTTTCATAATTCTGTAATCTTTTTGATTTATATAAACTTTGATTCATAATTATTGGAAAAAGTGTGATGATATTTCTATCTGTACATGATTTCTATCTGTACATATCTTTGTACATGATTATTATATAACTTTTGAATAATTTGTGATTTACTTTAAAGTGTTCATTGTATGTGTAATTTCCTGTRAATAGTGGGCAGTTCTGCAGACAGGCTGCTATGTACATTTGGTATTTAAACTATCTACCTAGTATCTACCTCACAATAGCTCAAAAGAATGGGGTAGAAGTTACTTGTAAATATGTACCTGTATTGCAAAAAGCAGGTTTCAGCATGACTAGAAAACATCTGGGGCACATAACAATTTAGGGCTTATTCTTTGACACTTACATAGGACTTTCTGTTGAACATCTAAAAATATTTAAGTTGTTAATTCATTTTTTTTTTCTTATCATTCTTGCTTAATTCTTTACAGGAAAGCATGCCTTCAGTAGCTGGAGCTGACAACCACACTGATGAGAATGAAATCACATACAGAGAAACAGCTCGTTGTAAATCTACCATCATTTCAGGCCTTGTCAAACTGTTTCTGACACCTTTTGTAGCTGCACTGTTTTGCCATTTATTTGATGTTGCTGATCTAACAAAACTCTATGATGGTTTTAGAGAGTTTAGTGACAAGCATCCAGCATTTCCGTATTTCATGACACAGATTTTCACAAGCTTTTTAGGCAGTATTTTAGGTAAGCAGCTTATCAGACTGTCAATGAAGCTTCTTACCATCAAGAATAGGAAATGCWTGATAAAAATTTTTATATCCTGCAGCTAAACTTTTCTCTTGATAGTATTATTTTGTTACACATTGTAGTYTCTTTGACTGTTCTCAGGTTGGCTTGCATGTGCAATGTGTATGCAAAGACTRGCATTTTTTGTTCCATTGATGCTAGCCACYCCATTATCAATGTTTTTGATCTACATCAAGCATATATGCTGTAGCAGTGCAGTACCTTTCCAGTGTGGTGATCTTGGAGATCATTAYYTGATACCATTGGCTGCTTGCCTGTGGCTGGCTCAGGTCCTCTCTACTGGAGTCTATGTATGGAAAGAACAAACATTTATCATGGCTAAGGAGTCGTCTTTGTTCTGGCTTCCAGTCTACAATGGTAAGTAATCAATGCTTTTCCTAAAGAACACTTTAGAAACATTATATAACTATTCTACAATTTGTATTCTAGGTGCATTCTTAGAGCAAAATTTGCTTTTAAACCGCAAAAATAAAATAACAGATGAATGTCAACTGAACCAGCGAGAGATTGCCAAGAAGTCTTGTGTATATATATGTACAACAATGTACCATGAGAATGAGACTGAGATGGAACAGCTGCTGCATTCCCTTCATGATGTTGACACAGCAAGACAGGGATCAAAACGTCAATTTGAGTCACACATTTTCTTTGATGGAGCGGTCAAAGGTGATGTGCTGAATGACTTTGTGCTGCAATTGATTAGTCTGGTGCCAAAGACACTCAAAGTAAAGATAGATAGTTGCATGAAGATCAAGACACCATATGGAATACAGTTGAGGTGGAGACTCCCTGGTGGTATGCCTTTCCATATTCACTTAAAGGATAATTTGAAGGTTTGTTTCAAATTAAAACATTTAGTGATTAATTGATTGATTATTTTGAAGTGATATATAAAATATGATCTTAATTGGCATTTAAAAACTGTGAACTGAGAGCAAAGTCAAATGCGAATATTTTATATTGCTAATCAAATATTCCTAACATAAGCTAAAACATATTTGCTAAAAACTTTCAATAACTACTACTTTACATTAGTGTTTTGATAACGTCTCTGRTAGACATCTATAATTCATTTTTCAAGGTTAAAAATAAAAAACGCTGGAGTCAAGCAATGTACATGTCATATGTCTTGGACTATAAGGAGGCTACCATGGAAACAAATGATGACAACACCTATATCCTAGCAACTGATGCTGATGTCAGATTCACCCATGAGTCAGTGCAGGCACTGTTAGATTTGATGATGAGGGATCAGAAAGTGGGTGCGGTTTGTGGTCGTACCCATCCACTGGGATCTGGTCCTGTTGTATGGTACCAAGTTTTTGACTATGCAATTGGTCACTGGTTTCAGAAGGTTGGTTGCTTTGCTGTGCTTGTATTTTTTCAGCTCCAGCTGTCTTAACTACAGATGTACCAGCTACTAACGACCCGTCAATGTGCATGCACAAAAGAATAAGATAAAATTGTCATCTTTCAGGTCGCTAACCATGTTCTTGGATCAGTCCTCTGTTCACCTGGCTGTTTTAGTGTCTATCGTGCAAGAGCTGTACGAGAAGTACTGCCTATCTATGCATCACGTGTGAATACTTCCATTGACTTCCTCACAAAGGATATGGGTAATCATGCAATGCTAGTCATCATTTGATGTTACAGTGCATTTTCTGTTCATGAAACATATATTGATTACACTTTCAATGTAAACAATACATTCTTTCCCTCTTTTTAAGTTGTAAACTTCAACAATAACCATTTTATTTAGGTGAAGATCGGTGGTTTTGTACATTAATGGTTCAGTCAGGTTGGCGTCTTGAGTACTGTGCTGCCGCAGAAGACAGTACTTTCTGTCCAGACAATTTTGAAGAGTTTTTCAACCAAAGACGTCGATGGATCCCATCAACCCTTGTGAACCTCATCCAGTTAATCAGTCAATGGAAAGTCACTGTTGAAAATAATGATAAAATTTCATTGTTCTTCATTTTTTACCAAGCATTGTTGGTCATTTCTACTCTTATATCGTAAGTGTGCTCGCTTGTATTGTTACTGCACACCATGGGTGCAATTACAATGATTATTTTTAACAAAACGTGAGTTAGCTCTATACTGATTCATTTCTTTAGTAATCTTTGCTTGTTTACTGTTCTAGGCCAGCTACTGTCATCCTCATYGTGACTGAGGGGTTGAAAAAATCTGAGTTCCCTGGAGCTGAGAATGATGTGGTTGTATTGATCCTACTTTGTGTTATGACTTTTGGCTTTGCRTTYATTTGTCTTTATACCAAGCAGTCATTTCAGCTCAAAGTTGCCAAGATTCTCACCATTGTCTTCGCTTTGATAATGGCTGCTGTGACTGTTGGTATGGCAGCACAAATCGGGAGTGATCTTAATAAAAGAAGTGACTGTGATAGTTTGAAACATGGTAACTCTTCAATGATATTTTATTTCTTTTATTTCTTTCATTATTGTACTGTTTTCTCAAACTTCTATGGTTCTATTGTTCGTCCTTTTCTCCCTCTTTTCCAATAGTTTTATATCCCATTTCTTATGTTAACCCTTTTAACCGCCTTTCGCATTTTCCAATCCCTTTTATCTATCTTCTTTCCTATCCTATTATCTACACATTTTTCCCATTTTCTTGCACTTTCTTCCACTATTTTGTGTTTTATGCACTAATTCATTGTGTATTCATAGGTTCAAATCATGGCAGCAACAGCTCTACAACTATAGCACCAACAACATTACCTATGGAATGCACTGATGGTCTTCCTGCTGAYATTAGTACTCTTTACTTTGCTGGTGTCGTTGGGATTTTTGTGGTTGCAGCTTTGATGCATCCAACTGAGGGTTACTGTCTTGTTCATGGGGTGTGGTACCTTTGTTGTTTACCATCAGGATATCTTCTATTGATAATATAYTCACTAGCTAACATTACAGATCGTTCTTGGGGTAAATATTACTTATTCTCACACATACTAGTAAACCATCTATRTTGTGCTTTAAGAACAAAGTATGGTTTCCAGGTTTTATTGTATTTACTCTATTTACTTTATCTTTATTATATTTTTCTTTGACAGGAACTCGTGAGACCAAAGAAAGAAAAATTGGTGACGATGCACCTTGGTACCAGGTACTTTGGGACAAACTCAGGTCTGTTTGTATTTGCTGTCGTCCAGAAGAAAARCCCACTCCTGCTCAGCCAGAAAACAAAGTTCCAGAACAACCAGAAGAGGTCAGTGTTTATATTGTCATTACTGTAAAATATTGTTTTGTTTGTGTAGATATTTATTCTTTGCTGAATGCGCTTATTTTTTTTACATTTTTTTACATTTTGTTAGTTAGTTTTTTTTGCTGACATTGGTTTCCTTTTATAAGTGCTTGCTTTTTTACAATGTGTATGTCCTTAGAATATCCTTGTATTTCTAGGAGGTGTCTGATAGCGTMTTTTCTGATGATGACCCATCTAGTGAAGAAAGTAGAACGAGTCCACCTATTGAAACCAACGATAATGCCCAAAATGAAGGAGCATCGACTTCTATTCAACCGACAGTTCCACTACCTGACCCTCCAAAGTCAGCATTGAAATCCAAATTGCGCAGAGGACAAAGTGCAGGTATACAACAGTTGATTTGTTCTTGTAGTATGTCATGTGTTTGTCCTCCTATCTCTATCAATGTACTCATTAATCTTTTCATTCATTCACCTCGGTCCATCCATTTATCCTTGCATTCATTTCTCATTTAGCTAACCATCCTTTTGTTTATKTAACGCCTCTTCAATCGCTTTCTCCATTCATATTTCAGAAGAGTATTTGGAAGAGAAACCCAAATGGCGCTTYCCAGGAGAGAAGAAAACTGTCCGSTTTGACACCAAGCTTCCAAAGCTATATGCCGAATTGCCTGTAGAGGATTGGCTCCCTGCAGAACTAAGGGTTTGTGTGTAAATGTTATTATTTGATGACTGTTTGCTGTATTTTACATTTTACTTTTTTTCTTTGCTTGCTTGATATATATTCTCTTTTCTTTTCTTTTCTTTCCATAAACCGCAATCCAAAGGTAAATTTGTGTGGATGCCATCTTCTGAATGACACATTGCTTATTTTTTATTTGCACGTTTTTTTCTCTGATAGTCTCTGTATACCAGACTTTTTATCGACAACGGTTATGACAACGTTAGCTTTATTGTTGGCATGAACAACAAGGTAAGATTCATTATTGCTGTAATGTAATATATTGCGTAACGTAACATAACGTAATATGATGTTCCATAATGTACGGGTTACTGAGTAAAATGTGTTACGTGTGACGTAAATTTGAATACTGCGTATCATCCGCAACAGAATGTGACGTCACTTAACGTAGCCTAGCGTAGCGTGGCTTAGTGTAACGCTAACCTAATGTACCATAGCGTATAGAATCATAACCACCCGTCGTACCTTGCGCGCTCGTATTATTGTTTACATACGTTTAAATRCGTCAAGCATACAATAAATTATAGATTGATAGTACCTGTGAGGTACTTAGTTAAAGGTATTTCTGTCCAAACTGAAAGGACGGAAGACGATTYGCGCTCACTTTAAGAAATCCTACAAATCCGCCATTTTCGTGTCCYCCTAAAATGGCGCTTCGGTTCGCAAGGTACGGCGGGTGGTTATGATTCTTTAAAGTAACGTTACGAGTGTAACGTGTCAAACGTAACACAATATARCTTAACTATTTCCAGTTCGTTCTAATAGTATTTTAATCTGTCGTAAGGATCTACGTTCCATTGGCATTAGTAAAAGAGGTCATCGAATGCAGCTCGTCTATCTGATTGAGAGAATCCCCCATACTCCTCTTAATACAGACGTACCAGTAAGTATTCACAGGGGGTAGTGTGGGGTATATTATCTCTAGGGAGATAAATGTAGTTGTCTTTAGTACATTTTATATGGAATTGATTTGACAATAGGAAAATGTAGAAGAGTGGCTTCATGACTTGGGACTGGAGAGTTACTGGATTTACTTCAAGAACAGTGGTTACACAGAACCGCGGTTCCTAGAGGACTTGAAGGCCATGGATCACGAAACTCTGAAGAAAACACTAAAAGAAGATCTTAATATCTGTAAAGCTGGTCATGTAAATAAGATGATTAAAGCGATCAAGAACTTACAGTACCCTACCCCAGGTAAGATGATCCACTACCCCAGTAAAATGATCCACTATCGACTTTTCTCCGAGAAGGCTGAGGTACGAGGATTTTACCAGCACAGGAAGCCCGTCATAGTACGCTATTTTGGTACTTATGTTAATCTATCTGTTTGTAGCTCAGAGAGAGATTCGCCGTACGCGTGAGTTGGTTAATAAAGTAAATTTATCAAACATCGAGACTGTCAATCAAGATGAGGGTAAGGAGTATCAGTTTTGGAAAAGCCTACGCACAGCGTGCCTTCTACCAGAGTCTGCAATCTTTGGTGCCGTGACAGAACTCAAGGAAAAACTAGAGGACTTGCGTGACCAATTCTTAACAGTGTTTGCAGTTGCTAACGTTATGTGGATTATCATTATTGTCACGCTTAATAAGCAGGTAATCTAGAATCATCATCCTAAATTATCCTCCCTCCAYCCTACATGATCGTRTCGCAGCAGCTTGTGGTTCTCAAAATGCAACCTTCTGGTTATGATTCTAAKATGAAGTGCATTAGAGTGAAATGAGGTAGTCTATGCACTTCCGTTCCCCACCCCTCCCCCTCCTGCGTGAGCGGTCGGGAACGGAAGTACACACACTATATTCCCTGGCTGTTATCTACGATACGGCAATCTCTGTACTTGTGCATAGCAAAGAGAGAATTAAATGGAATTTTTCAATTAGGTTTGTTTAAGTAGCCAATAGCTAACGTTTTCAAGTAATTATGATTACGGATATTTCCGCAGGCGGATCTCAAATTCAAAGGGACCAATGCAGTCGGCTTTGCTTTTCTTGTGGTTTATGGGATGGTGATTGTCATCATGTTTCTTACCATGATTTGGCATCGTATATCAACCGTTTGTCATCTACTAGCTCGTGCTCCATGGCGACGCGGTCCTTATCAACTATCATGGGCTTTCAAAGACGAGAACCTTCCACCGGAACCAACACAAGCCGAGCTTGACAAAATTCGAGAGAAGAAGAATAAACGAATGAGAAGGAAAACAGGTAAGACAACTTTAACTTAGATGTATATGGAAAATAGATTTATGAAAAAAATGAAAAAATGCAAAGTGTGCGTTTCGAACGTTACATTTGCAATTCTCCGCCACCTGATTGATGCAAATCCCACTCTTCTTGATCTACCCTGAAGTCACTTATCCCTGAAATCCAACAACCTCCACCCCCTGGAAGCTTAATTTATTGAATGCGATACAATTTTTATGTGCATTGTGGCGGATTTACCGACTGTATATTGTTTTCTAGCTCGTCGACGATCTGGCAGCAGTGGTGGGGTTTATGCTCCTCTTATCTCTGAAGACGGTCTGTCTGACTACAGCAGCACTGCCAGCGCAACGCCACAAATTGTATGAATAATTAGTGGCCGCTTGGTCTCTTTAGTGTGTTTATAAGACGTACAAAACTTTTTTTCTTAATACGAAATATTGAATTTAGAGGGTGTCGCCCCTATTAACCGGGGCTACGGAAGCAATACTTCGTATTAAAGAAATGTATGGGACAGCAATTTCAGCATTTGGTATTTATGAAGGACTTTGTTTTGGGGAGGGGCTGCATATTTCATATGATTAACACTTAATATTACAAATGTATATTGATCACATAAAATAGAATTTATAGAATAGAAATATTAGGAATGAAAATTCGTTACGTTACTGCATTAAATTTGGCATTAAATTTATAGAAATTTTTATAGAGTATATATTGGCTTTTAGAAAGCAGAAATATAGATTATTTTGTCACAATTTTATCATTAGTATTATCATACACCGAATTAAACATTGCATTTGAGTAGTTGTAGTTCACTGCGCTTTGTAAAAAGGTCAATGCGCACTCGGAGTACTTCGCGCCATTCTTACAAAAAAACTTGATTTCGTTCTTTTAAACCTTCTTTATCGTTTTCTCTAGCTTGCTAATGGTCCAAATACTGCYCCGACCTGCTAATGGACACGAAGAAGACATCAAGAAAATATTACATGTATCACAATATTACATGTATCGCATCGGTTACGTCTTTCATCGTGAAGAAAGGAAAAATTAAATGACATGTCTAGAGATYTGTGACAATAAAATCCAATCATAACCAAAGTAACATTTAAAATTTTATTGACTTCTTGAGTACATAGTAATGAATGTAAATAAGCAGTCTGACAGTAAGCATTGTTTTTAAAATGTATAATACGACTAATATATCAGTAAAGTATATTTTTAATTAAAATGAGTTTTAACCAACCGTCAGTGCAGTGATGTCTTAACTAAGTCCCCTGATAACAGTCATCTAAAAAAATAATTATCGCATAGAATAGATTAAATCAATAATTTAAAATAATTTTTGAATTCCCAACTCATAAGAGCTTAAC